ATTGGATATGAATAGTACAATCTTAACTATTTGTTAATTTATTACTATTGCTGCATTGTAATTAATATACTATATACGTATTAAGTAATAAGTGTGCAAGTTCACTGAACTAATGTTCAGATTCCATAGAGATTAACTAATGAACAGTTTTCTTTTCAAGGTATAAACGTAACTTGTATAGATTTCAATTTCAAATACTTAAATGTGTAAGAAATATAAACTTACTAAAAGTTACTTACTGAAATTTTATCATAAATTGCTGTGCTCATTATTTTGAGGCTAACAGGAACTTGTTCTTCTTTTCAGGTAAACCATTTAGCCGCATATTCCTGCGTTTGCCATTTGAACCACTCATTGTTTTCCCTCTACTAAATCGTTTTCAAAGAAGTATCCAGACATGCTGTCAGGACCGTATATGTATTCCGAAATACTTGTATTGCCAAATAAGTGCATTTACAGCGACTACTGCAACAATCGCAAGACACGCTCATCATTTTTTTGTGTTTTAATTGGCAAGATCAGTTCAAGCCCACCATGTGCGTACCTTGGACTCAACCTCAAATATGCTTTTTTACTTCTATTCACATTTCCAGTTTTTTATTCTTACAATATTTTCGTACAAAACCGCTTAAATAGATTTAATAAAAGAATTTTAAAATTAAAATAAATTTCTTAGTGCTTATTTGATAGCCAGTTGAGATTGTTGTTAAACATTTTTTCTAATCCGTATATACATGCGACTTGGTTAAATTAATGATTGATTTTATAACGTTGAGTATTTATGGTTTAAATTTCCATATTCATAATTTTATTGCGTTTTCTAGTAAAACTCATGCTGATTTTATGGAGTTGATTGAATTTGATATAACCAACTTTGGTTGCCTAAAGACTATTTATTTGCTATTGGGCAGTAAATAAGAGTATTATATAATAAATCTTTGAAATATGGCACTAGTAAAGATTGAAGTAATGGCCAATTCCCCGAATCTATGTCAAATATGTACACCAGCATATGTAGAGCGACACGGATAAATTATGACACACCGTTTGTGAATCAAACTCACATAACTTGAGATACTCGCGGCAACAAAGTCATTTTCCCATACTGCTTCGACTAGTTCAGTGATGAATGTCCTCAGTGTTTTTGAGTTACTAATGGGAACTTTCAAAACTGCATACTCTCTCGGTCAACTGCAGCTCATACAATTTAAATTATCTAAGCGTTTTGATAATATTTTTTCGAAAAGTGAAAATATTTTCATTAAATCTAAATTGTTATTCTTCAAAATAAAAGTGCAAACAATAATTTTCCATTGTGATTCCTCGTAACGACGTGTGTGAGATCACCATTGCATGGTTCACGGTTCGGATTCACTTGGTCAGATAAACAAGCTCAGCTCGACTTAAATTGTCTTAATTGTGCTTTAAACCAGAAATTTAATTAATATGTTTGTAATTAAAAATTGTAGCGAAAGTAAAATGAATACTAAAAGTGTAAGTGTGAAACCCTAAATAGTTGTGCATAGGCAGCTGTTTTTTACGAGCTTATCTCTTATCTTCTAGCAGCTCACCTGAACTTTAACATTGAATTGCTTTTTTATTTAACATTTTCAGTTTTATTACTTTAGTTTCGTTCATATGTGAAATCAAATATTTTTAGAAACCTAACAAAGACTTGATGGTTTGTCACAGATTAATTCACATCTCTATAGGCTTCATGACATTGTATCCATTAAGTTTTGTTTTAGTCAGCTTCTGCAACTTAACTCGAATACTTGGTATTTGCTTTCTAATTTCATATATTCAAAATGCTTCCCATATTCTTTTCATTTAAATTCCTATAATCCTAGATTCCTAGATTTTGCAGTGAACAATTTCCATTCTTTGACATTTTAATATTTTTATATTTTTATTGAATATATCAACAATTTCAATGAGGTTCTCCAACGATGGAAGATATTAGAACTTATATGTTTTAAAATTATTCTTAATCTTTTTAGATTAAAAGTGATATGATCACTGGCTAAAATGGTAATAGTCGTTAGATAAGATTTCAAAGACTCCATACATTCGGTTACATTCATTTAAATATATGTATTATATGTTGGAGCAAAACAGAGAAAATCAAACCTAACTACTCCAACCCGTCTATATGTTATATTTTTTATATATCTTAAATTCGCTGCATTTGCGGAGAGTAAAACGACCGTTTTGAGCTTTGATGTTTTACTGTTGTTTGTTTTCTATGATTGGTACTCTGTTTCCGTTAAGGCAGTTATATTTTGGATAGTTTTTCAGAAAATGTATAAATTTCGTACATAAACTTTTACTAAGTTCATTATACTTATATATTATGAAATTTTGAGTTTAATTTAACTAATTTACAAAATTTAAAATAAAATAATATAATTTTATCATTAGAAAATATATAACTTTCGTATATAAACTTTTACTAAGTTCATTATACTTACTTATTATGAAATTTTGAGTTTAATTTAACTAATTTACAAAATTTAAAATAAAATAATATAATTTTATCATTAGAAAATATATAACTTTCGTATATAAACTTTTACTAAGTTCATTATACTTACTTATTATGAAATTTTGAGTTTAATTTAACAAGTTTACAAAATTTAAAATAGTGATTTTTTTTCAGGCTAATTGTTCAAAATTTTTATTATTGTTAAAAATTAAGGAAAAGAAATCACAATATTTAATTTTGCAATAATTTTTATTTTATCGATATTTCGACTTTAGTCTAAAGTTATTGTTAAGTTTCATATTAAATCTATTATCATTGTATCAATTATTATAATTGTTTTCTTATTATTGTATTATTATTGTCAATTATTATAATTGTATTCTTATTAGTGCATTAATTATATGTGTACATAAGTACCTAAATTAGTTCTTATGTTGTTTTTGTTGTTGGTGTTTATTTGTGTTATCAAACATTTAGCAATGTTGCTGGCTCTCACAACTAAATATTCGCACGCTAGCAGCGTGCCAGACGTAACATGATCATCTTCACACGCCACTGTGCAAGGTTGATAAGCATTATGTTCATTTTCTTTTATCGTGTGTTCGTTGTGAGTTGCAGCAATAGGCAAGTCGCTGCGACAATTCTGTTGTTCCCACAGGTGCAATATGAGTTGGCGCATGGCTTCAGTGATAACACATTTAAGTCACCAAATTTGTGAAGCAGGTTGATATATGGCAAAATACATATATCAGCTTGCTGATTGCATTAAATAGTATAAGCATAGGTAATGCACATATTTCCCACGAATGCCCTTGGCCTTGAATGTTCAAAGTCCATCGGATAACAAATCGTGGGAACTGGGTGCATTTCCTCCTTTACCATAAGCTTAGTGTTAAGTGTTTTGTATAAAAGCACAACATTTTTAATAAACATTTGATTCAATTTAACAACCTGAATACAACCAAGTGTTTTCTTTTGGTTTAAGTGCCTAAAAGAACCTTGAGCAAAGTCGGTTTATGTGCCGAATTTGAAAATCAATAATAAAAATAAAATAAACAAATAAATATCTATATATATATTTACATATATATCTAGATATCTATAAATTACGTAACTGGTTTATGTGCCGGATTACGTAAGTGAATTACTAAGCTGGTTAAAGTGCCGGATTAGTGAATCCGTATCAGACTAGATACGGAGGATAACATATCGTGAAAAGCTAAGTTGGTTCAAGTGCCGGATTAGCTTCAGTCCGTATCAAACTAGGTACGGATCATAACATTTTTGGTGACCCCGACGTGATTTATCACGCATCAGTGGACATACACGTGATATCACGCATCAGTATTGTCATTTGTGGACATACACGTGATCTATCGCGCATCAGTATTGTCATTCACGCAGCAGTATTGTCATTTGTGGACATACACGCATCATTGTTGTCATTCAGTGGACATACACGTGATATCACGCATCAGTATTGTCATTTGTGGACATACACGTGATCTATCACGCATCAGTATTGTCATTCACGCAGCAGTATTGTCATTTGTGGACATACACGCATCATTGTTGTCATTTGGTGACATACACGTATCAACATTTCAACAATCAATTCTCTGGTGACCATGGAGGACCTTATCAACCAACAGGCTGAAACAGGTGCTGAAATCCAGAACATCATAAGAAACTTCAAGAAGGATGGTCAGGCAAGGAAAACCCAGGCGTACTATGAAGAACGACTGAAGCGTTTAAACTCAGCGTGGGAGTCCTTCGATGAAGTCGACAGTAAAATTCAGAGTCTTGATTCAATTCCAGTCGGACACGACTACATAAAAAAGGAATATTATCAAGAGATCCTGAATATTTACAAACAGTACAGCCGACAATTTGAAACGGCCATTCAACAATTCAACCAAGAAGAAATAGTCGAGCCTGTAACTGTTCCATCAACATCAAGATTTAATGTTGGACACACAGATGATCCAGCGTGCGGCCCTGATCCACAGATTCAAGGGCTCATCAACAAACAACGCGCAATATCATGTTCATTATTGCGGCTCATCAATGGCGTCAAGCGCATATACGAGCAACAGCCTCTGTCATATTACCAAGTAAATATTGACAGAATTAACAAATTATGGCAAGAAATTGAAGCCGTTAATTTTAAAATCTGGGAAATACATTCCAATCCAATAGGAGTTGGATATGATATCCAGAAATATATTGAACTAGAAGAAGAAGTTCAAAATGTGCTGGTGTCACTAACATCAAAGGTGACATCAAATCAACAGCAACCGCCTCTCGTTGCGGAAAAGGTGCAAGTTAGGTTACCTAACATAACAATTCCGAGTTTAATGTAAACAGTGATGTCGACTTATTGATAGGTGCCGAGTATTTCCATTCGCTGTTATCAGTAGGTCAGATTCGTATGACAGACAACTTACCAATATTGCAAAAAACCGTCTTCGGTTGGGTATGCAGCGGCATCTTCAGTGGATGTGATCAGGGCACAATGGCATGTACAATTGCCACTGAAAGTGAGCAAGGACTAGACAACCTACTCACAAAGTTTTGGCAATTAGATGAAGTTGCAAGTCATGACCGGCAACTTACAAATATCGAAAAAAAATGCGAAGCAGCATTCAATCAAAATACTCAACAAAACAACGAAGGACGGTTCATTGTAAAAATTCCGTTTACAGACGATGCATCTGCACTTGGTGAATCAAAACAAATGGCTCTAAATCGATTCTTGAAACTGGAACAGCGACTGAACAAGCAGCCTAGCTTACGAGCAGAATATGTCAGTTTTATGAGGGAATATGAGAAATTAGGCCATCTACAAGAAATTCAAGAGGACCAATTATTGTGTCCTAATTACTTTCTGCCCCATCATTGTGTGCTCAAATCTGATAGTACTACAACGAAGCTAAGAGTAGTTTTTGATGCGTCCGCAAAAACCTCTACGGGCATTTCGCTCAACGAAATCATGCATAAGGGGCCAGTAGTACAAAGTGAACTAGCAGCCATATTAATGCGATTCAGAATGCCACGATTCATATTTACGACAGATGTGGAAAAAATGTATCGACAGATACAAATTCACCCAGATGACAGACGATTTCAAAATATATGGTGGCGCGAACATCCTAACGAGAAATTGCGGTTGTTGCAGCTTAGTACAGTAACTTATGGTACTAGGGCCGCACCGTACCTAGCTACAAAATGTCTACAGACGCTGGCCATAAAAAACAAATCTAAGTATCCTCTCGGAGCAGCAGCACTCGAAACCGACTTCTATGTTGACGATGGTTTATGCGGAGCCAACACAATAACGGAAGCAGTTGAAATTAAAAATCAACTGATCAACATTCTCTCTACAGCCGGTTTCAAATTACGAAAGTGGTCAGCCAATCACAAACAGTTGCTTCATGGCATAGCACCAGAAGACCAAGAAGTGGATTTGAATCTTTTAGATGAAGAACATACATCAGTTAAAACTCTGGGAATTATATGGCTACCAAAGACTGATCAATTTCAAATCAAAATGAATACAACAACAGATCAACAACAACATCAGTCACCAAATTGGCAGAACACCAGTATTCCCATGCATGATGATGACATCAATCAGCTGAAAGCGGCTTTAAAGACATTTCAACAACAAGAAGAACTTCCTGCAAATGAAAGAGCACATCATCAACATCATTTTGTTATCGAGTACTTAGCACTTGGACTAAGTATATTAATCCTATGCATTATCATAGTTCGATATACGCATAAACGAAGAAAGCGGAACAACAATCCAGTACCTCAACCCCGAACTCGACAACAACAATCACAATTCGAAATAGACGTAGAAGCACAGATTTGACCGAAGTCAACAGGAGGGAGAATGTTAAGTTTCATATTAAATCTATTATCATTGTATCAATTATTATAATTGTTTTCTTATTATTGTATTATTATTGTCAATTATTATAATTGTATTCTTATTAGTGCATTAATTATATGTGTACATAAGTACCTAAATTAGTTCTTATGTTGTTTTTGTTGTTGGTGTTTATTTGTGTTATCAAACATTTAGCAATGTTGCTGGCTCTCACAACTAAATATTCGCACGCTAGCAGCGTGCCAGACGTAACATGATCATCTTCACACGCCACTGTGCAAGGTTGATAAGCATTATGTTCATTTTCTTTTATCGTGTGTTCGTTGTGAGTTGCAGCAATAGGCAAGTCGCTGCGACAATTCTGTTGTTCCCACAGGTGCAATATGAGTTGGCGCATGGCTTCAGTGATAACACATTTAAGTCACCAAATTTGTGAAGCAGGTTGATATATGGCAAAATACATATATCAGCTTGCTGATTGCATTAAATAGTATAAGCATAGGTAATGCACATATTTCCCACGAATGCCCTTGGCCTTGAATGTTCAAAGTCCATCGGATAACAAATCGTGGGAACTGGGTGCATTTCCTCCTTTACCATAAGCTTAGTGTTAAGAATTTTGTATAAAAGCACAACATTTTTAATAAACATTTGATTCAATTTAACAACCTGAATACAACCAAGTGTTTTCTTTTGGTTTAAGTGCCTAAAAGAACCTTGAGCAAAGTCGGTTTATGTGCCGAATTTGAAAATCAATAATAAAAATAAAATAAACAAATAAATATCTATATATATATTTACATATATATCTAGATATCTATAAATTACGTAACTGGTTTATGTGCCGGATTACGTAAGTGAATTACTAAGCTGGTTAAAGTGCCGGATTAGTGAATCCGTATCAGACTAGATACGGAGGATAACATATCGTGAAAAGCTAAGTTGGTTCAAGTGCCGGATTAGCTTCAGTCCGTATCAAACTAGGTACGGATCATAACAGTTATCATCAGGAAACTAAACATTATATTCAAATACTAATCAACATATTAATACATACATAGTGGTAGACAAAAGCATATAAATATTTTATAACACAAATTTTTACAATACAAATGTTTAATAGTAAATTTTTAATCCTGTGCTTATTTATTGATGTATAATACTTTTATACATCTGGGCACAGTTGTCAACATCAGTTTAAAAATTGAGCCTTGTGTTAGGTGGAATTTTTAAAATTGCGAGCATCTCTAAAAAATATCGTTTGTGATGATTATTTTCTTGGTGTAGAATTTTCATGACATATTTTCTAAATCCGGCTTATGGTGTGTAGAAAGGGCCGTTTTGGCTTCTACACCGACCTTATTTTGTACGCTGTGTTTATGTCCAGCCATTCCTGTTTTTAATTTATTTTTGGTCGTCCCAAATATATCCCTGATCGCATACGTCGTACCCGTCGCCTTTGCAATTGATTTGGTATACTACATTTGATTTGTCCAAGTTATTTATTTTGGTTTTTAAGTTGGAGAGTTAGAGAGTTTAGGAATATGTATAATGCTTTTATATATTTTGCTCTTCTTACATCTAGTGTCATTCTGAAAGTTGTTAATATTTTTGATAATCTTTTCCACATTGGAAGAGGAAAAATCATTTGTATTTAAAATTCTTCGAAATTGTTTTTGTAAATCATTATGGAACATTGGATCGGTTACATGTGGAGCACTTTTTATCATATTTTTTGCTGTGTTTTGTACTCCATCATATACATAGTTTGAATAAAAATTGATAATTCTTCCTGATGCAGTTGGTTTTTGATACCATTTTGTAAAGATATGATTATTGTGTCCCAACAATTTGATATCAAGATAAGGAAGAATATTATTTGTTTCTTTTTTCATAGTAAATTTAATATTTTTGTGGAAGTTATTCAATATTCGATGAGTTTCATCAATTTTATCTGCTTTAACTATTCCAAACAGGTTATAAACGTATTTCGTCATGATTCTGGGCTTAGAGACCATTTCTTCAAGACTATTATTTAATAACTTTTCCATAATAATATCTGCTATGATCGATGAAACTGCTGAACCCGTCGGCAAGAAAATAATATAATTCATAAGAAAATGTTAAATATTAGAATTCATTTTGTGCATAAACTGTGAATTTGGTTTTTATTTTTTATTATTTTGATCCTAAACATTATATATATTAAAAATCACATGGTAATACTTATATATTCAGCTTACTCGTATCAGATGAAGATGCTATCAGATTGATTTGAAATTTAATGGTTTTTTATTCGGTTTTTATTCATTGTCAGCGTTAATCGCACTAAATTATTTTCTTTTTTTTTATACTATAATCTCTTTCGGTCAGAGTACACTATCAAAAATTATTGTAATGTTTTAATGAGAAAATTTAGAATTATATTCGACCCATACTCTATGTGTATTGATAGTTGCTTAATATGATATAGTACCAAACTCGAACTATATACTCGTAAAATACATACCAATTTTTAAACTAAAACATCAGTTTTTGATAAGTAATAAATATAAATATGAGAATTTTTCGAAGTACTACTTCTAAGCATATTGACTCATATAAATATTATACAATGTACGAGTATATTCAATAATGCTGCTTCTTATTCTAATTGAACAAAACTTATTTTTGAAATACTTCTAAGTGCATTTTCTAAGTGAAAATAATTGAAAAATTACTTATTTCCGTAAGAATTTCTAATCAAAATATAAAATTCTACTAATTGGGTCAATTGCCCGCTGATACAGAACAAGTCTACTTCAACCTATGCAAAATATGAAATTTCATTTGAATTCCCCCGCTGATACGTAAAATATTTTATACACAATTTTTTGGTGAAGTATCTGTTGGCAATATTTCCCAACCCCGTTCAATATGGCAACCTGTAATCTGCAATCTACGCTTTCACAATGAATAGAGTGCGTCCTTAAGATAAGACCGCACAGAGACGTTTAACCTAGTTTTTATAGAAGAGTGACAACACTTAATGACAGAAGATACATGGTATGACTTAGACTAAGGATAAGACTAAGAATTCAAGCATTGTACACTTCTGCTATCGTTATTTTGTTGTTATAACTACATAGGTACCTATAATTAAATTTTCAAATCAAAAGGCCCCGAACACTTTCTTCACGTTTGGCACCCTACACGCTTAGTTCGCCACGGTACTTTCTGTTTTCGTAGGATTAATATAATAAGCAAAACTGGCCAGATTAACCATGATCATATTATTTGTAGTAATTCTTGCAGTAATGGAATAGTGCAATCCAAATCAAATTATATAGAAATGAGTACAAAATTTTACATTTTAACTTTATTAAGTAAAATTAGGATACAAAGTCTAATCTAAATATTCTGTCCCTTGATTTGATTCAAAATATAAATTATTCCGAATAGCGATTGACATTAGCTTTGGTACTATGTTTTTTAAGAAAAAATCAATCGTTCATTACTGAATAAGTGATATTGATTGTCAAAAGCAGGGACTTAATTATTCTTTCAAAAACTTTGGCCGAAATTTAAATCGAAATACATAGAATGTATTAGGTATGCTTTGACGCACTCTCGCATTGTGAAGAGGCTAGTACTTTGATCAACAAAAAAAAAAAGATCAAAAAATTTCTTTTCAGACCAAAATTCTGTTTCATTTAATATTGAAGATGAAGTACTTTTCTTATTATTTTTGTTTTTTTTTGTAATTGGGGCCACTATGACCACATTCACTAATCGGTGGCACAGTTGATGATGGCATATTGCTGCCACAGACTAATCAGTTAAAGACGCTTTTCAATTAGCAAAGCACTGAGCATTCAATACACTAACTCATCTGCTTCGCTGTTCGTCAGTAGCAGAATTCGACACAGATACTTCTGCAGATACCGGATCGCTCCGTGTTTACTTATCTTATAATTATAATTTATCGCATATGTAATTACAATCGTATCAGAAAGTAGAAAACAAAAGAAAAAAATAAATACAAATGGAATTCCATTGATTTCGTTTTGCACTTATTACTTTTCAATTAAATTCGTTTTGTCGATAAGCAAAAGTAAATTTTTAAGTATTCAATCTTAGCCAAATTATGTCGAGTCCAAGCGTAGAGTTGAGATGAGAAATGCGTATCTGTAAAGTTTAGCCATCTGTCGACTGAGCAGAAGTACATGGATTTGCAGCATTTGTTCTTGTTAATGAGGCACAAGACTATGCGAAATGTTTTATATTTATTAAACAATTTAAATTCAGAAAGATGCGAATTACTTTGCTACTATTTCGTTCAAGCAATTCCGTCAGTGGAATTTGTACTGAAGACATCACCATCACCACCACCACTGCGACTGAAGAAATAATTCAATTTTATTATAAATTTTAATTTCATTAAATCACAATTGAAAGTGCGTTCACAGTTGCTAGACATCTACAAAATTGTTAAGTTGTGCCTTCCGATAGAACTCTTTTGGACCAAGGTGGGTGCGCGAAGAAGTGCCTGACTGCTGCTAATTAATGGCTATAATTTGCATTTCCAACAGGCCATCAACACAATTTCAACAATAATTTATATTTTAACATTTTGAATATAAAAAATTAAAAAAAATTACCTTTAATATTAAAATAGTGAATTATGATTTTATTTCTCCTTTGCAGTGGCGAAGTAATTTGGCATGGCAACGCAGCGAAAATTTTCAAGAAAATCAACTGGCAATTAGCGAGCTTTGAGAAGAACATAATCAACTAAAACCGAAACTATTGAAAAATGAATTTAAAGTTTCTACTGCAATTGTTGGCAACGCTGCAGTTCTTTACATTGAGTCAGGTGAGCCAATAGAACAACACCCGCAACATACAAAATTTGACAGACGCAATTTAAATCAAAAGATTTCGAACTCAATAGAATTCGAACTCAAAAGAATTCGAAATATTAGAAAAAATGTATTTAACTAAATTCAATAAAACAGAGCAAATATCACAATTAATAAAATTAAGCAGATTCCATTAGAGCAAATAGAACAGAACAAAAAATGACTGATCAAGGTTAATCGACTTGTTGTAAACCAAATCGTGCGATAGATACGTGCGCATTTTTCCAGCACAATACACACAATCTCCGCACTTACACAGGCATCGGGCCTCTGGCATCGTGCATTTACAGTTGCTCTGATTTATACTGACATACACACATTAGGGTGTATCTAATCTCTAGCGTAACTCAACAACGCTAGATCCGATTTATTTAATGTAATTAGCATAATATATAGGTATTATAACGATATAATCTGTATGTCATTGTCTTCGATTTGACTAGTGACCCCTGTGCTCAGCTATTAAAATATTTGTTAACAGATTTAGATTACGAAAATTCGACCGGAAATTAGTGTGGATTTCTTACTAAAGGCATTAAGGGTTTTCTTCTCAAATACAACAGCAGTGTCAGAATATATAAATATGTATTTTTTTATTTTATTATATTCAAAAATGTATAAAAAAACATATATTTTTATTTAGTTTGATACACATAAGTGTGGAACCGTGTAAGCATAGTGTACTCTATTGTAAATAATAGCATATGTATTCAAGAGGACACAATAGATCATATAATAAAATTGAAATACACTAATATTGTAAATTGATATTCAAACTGGTCGTTTCACATTATTATAATAAACGAAACTTTATTTTAATCACAAACCGATTTGTGAATTAAGGTTTTGGCTAATTTATATCATTAAACACATTCCACGCAAAACTCAAATACAACCCTTCGTTTTAATTGTAATAAACTTATATTTATCATTTACACCAGTTGCATTGCGTTTATCAATATCACGATAAAAGTGGTTTATTATATTAAATGACATTTATTATGGATTAAGTTGAAGCTATTGTGTGGTATCTATCTGTAGTACCGACAGTTTTACCTATATATTTTTTATAACACCATTCAGTGATTTTTGCTCAAATATTTTAACATTTTAAAAAATTTTTATAATTTTGATATTTGAGTTCTGTGTATGTGGTGTGGTTTGCAGAGTAGTTGTAAAGTTAATTAAGTTGTAATTCTCCTATGGTTTTTTGGAGATCATTACTATAAATTGTATAAATTGTTAGTTCTTTTGCTGTTTTAACAACAATTTATAAATTTAATAATCTTATAAATTAATTATTTATATTTTGCTTGGTTCACATCGTGATATAAAAACTATAAAACTATTTTAGGTCACATACTTCAATTTACATCTTATATCCAGTTTTTATTTATATGATTCTTACATATTGTTAAGAAATTTTTGTGGCTAGTGACTAGAGCTTAACACTTTATCGATATCATAATTATTTAATTAAATAATTAGTTTTAATATAAATTTTTCAATCAGATCAACTGTAGATCGATTTTTTCAAGGGTCAATATAGTTTTATAATACATTTTTATAGTATATAGTTTAAGTAAGTAGTATCATTACCTCTGATGTTAATATTTATATTTCTAACACCTTTGACTTCGTGAGTGTAGACAAATGTTTTACAACCGCTCTCAATTTAGGTCCTATGCTCTTTTATTTGGAATTCTCTTCCAATAATTTTTTTCTATTGTTATGAATAATTGCTATCCAAACTCTTTATTTTACCGATCCGTCCAGTATCATACCAACATTTTCTAAACTAGCAATACCTTGACAGTGAATATTCATGAACTATCCAAAAAGCCCAATATTACACATCCTTTTGAACTTAAATTATAAATAATTTTTTTGCAAATATCTGCAAAAGTTTTTGCCCTGTCGATAGGTAAAAACTCCTCAACACGTCACAAGCTGGTCTTCTTGCAGTATTCTATTTAGATTCTCTTGGTGTAGTATTATTATATTACCTTTTATTTCAAAAAGCTAGTCTTAAAAAGAGTCACTATTAAGACTTTTAATATTCATTGCATTGTGCGAATATTTAAGAATAAAATTCATACTTTCATGGAAATATAAAGATGTTCTTTATACCGATGATAACTCCGACGATATCCGCTCTTTTAAACAGGCATTCATTTATTTCAGAAACATTGTTGTTGGCATAATTTTATTTTCAAAATAAATTACTTTTAATGTGATTTTCAATTTTATTTTGTCTACAAATTTTAAATGACGATGTCATCATCTCAACGCCCCTGACTTAGTTTATATATTGCAATTTCCTTGATGTGAATGTCTGGCAGCTGCATTTAGGCTCTTGCCCTTAATATCATGCTCGGTCCGTGTGCTACCTGTAGCAGGTGTGGTACTAGTTTTTCTTTTTCTTTTTTAGAAATGCTTTGATTATTAAATAAATCATTTATAAAATATTCTTGTTAAAACAAATTTTAGTTTTTCTATATACATACATTGAGAAATTCTACAGAATCTTGTTTGCATTTGATTGAATGTCTTCATTGAAAGGAATTGTAAAAGAGCTTTTACCATCTGATTAAAATTTAACTAATTTATATCCTTTATGATCTAACGAATGTTTTCATAACATATGACATCCATCTTCTTATTATCCGTTTCCCCTAGTGTTAGGTGCTTCTCTGCATATATCGTTCCATATCTAGTGCGCTTTTGAAATTTCTCTTTCAATTGTCCATCTCCAAGTTTAAGCCGGTGCACCAGGGTGTCTGCTGCTTTGTGGTTTCCACGTCAAGGCTTGTCGTGGAATGGATTTATTTAGTCGTCGGGTAGTCTGCCCTGTCCAATTCTATTTTCACATTTTTATTTCAGTTACAGCAGCTTTCTGATTTGTTTGAAGCAAAAGTTCTGCATTTGATATGTGGTTGGGACATATTTTTTTTTTTAACATCAGTGAAAAATTGTCCTTTGAATTTGTCTTACATTGTGGCGTTGTTGAAATTTTATTTAATATGAACCTGAACTTTTGAAGCCACAAACAACAACTGACGCAGGTACAGTTTTTTTCCGACCACCATCATAACATTGAGGTGTTCTAAGACTCCAATAGCCACTTCTAACTATTGACTATTTAAAAAAAAAAACTGACACGTAAATGCTTTTCGATTTGTTAGAAGTTAATTGGAGTTCATTTGGATCAATTGGATCCTGTACCTAATGCGCTGAATTTAGTTCTGACTGCATATGTGGATTGAGTGAGTGCCTTACTTACAATGAATTATATTAAAATCCATTTAATATTGGAGGTATCTTTTCAATCATTAATGTTTCATTGAAACATAAGTCCACTTAGAAGTGTGGATATTTTCGATATCTGTGTGTTGTTGTACGGCTTTTTTAGTTGATACGAAGTATGTATGCGTGAAGTGCAAATATAAATGAAGGTAAATATCAAATTCATTATTTTTAAATATATAATATGTATGTATTATTAAGAAATAAGTTCATTTTGTTGTGTCAGAATTTACATTTCATTATTTAATTAGTTTTAATTCAAGTTCAACTTTCGGCAAATTTTATTTTTTCTATTTATTTAAAAATGATATTGAATCAATTTTCAATATCTGACTTAATTACTTCAGCAAACAATGTTGACAATTTTTCGATAGAAATGATCATTGTTCCCATCTTGTCTGCAATCGACATTGAACTTAGAAATTAGCATTGTTTGTAGTGACGTCATTATTGTACTATTTAAAATCTAATAAAACAGTAAACAGTATATAATTTTCAAATTAGTTTAACAAAAAAGCCTAAAACTGTCAACTTTTTGTGCTTTTCATTGTAAAACCACAAATTGTGGCAATTATTTCCGCATGATTTCATGGGAATTTCGATTCTAATTCGATTTTTCTTACTAAGGTTAATAGAAAAATTAAAACAAATGAAAATTTAAAAATAAAACAAATTGTGAATAATTTGTTAAAAATATTTTGAACAACATAAATAATTTTTGCTTAGAAATTAATTTTTAGATTTTTAGTGAATCGCGTATGTAGTACGCACATGCATGTATACATAAATTCATACATGCAAACTGTGACCAAATGCCTGTTTCAGAAACAATTTATTTTGAAATTTTCCATATTTTTATTGTTGTGACAAGAAAATGTCAAATTTATCTGAATTTCTACCGCAACTTTCGCCTAAGCACGGAAAAGATATTCTTGCGATGCGTCAAAAACGAGGAAGCCAGACGCTGTCTGAAAGATGAACATGAGAATCTTGCCAGCTCAGATCCAAAACTTCTTTTTTTCGTACTTCTGTTCATTCTTCTTTGTTAAAAATTGCTCAGGGTTAATGGAGTGGAGGCACATTTTTGTGTAAAGAGACAGCTACTTCAAATGTCAAGGAACTACTTTAAAGAAGCAATAAAAAAACAATATTGAATTGTAACGTTCAAGAAGGAGTTGTTTTCACATACAGTAAGACAATACATAATACAATACTCTCTACTCTTATCAAAGCTTCGATATCCATCCATCACACCACTGCTATAGCTGAGTTACAAGTCAATTATTTACGGTTTATTTCGAAAATAATTCTTTTTGAATAAAACAAATTTTTTTCGGCAAATAAACATTTTATTTTTCTACATAATCACCTTTTAACTCGATATATTTAGTTCAGCGCTTTTCTAATTTTCTTATTCCCTCCGAATAATAGGTTTTCTCAAAGCTCTCAAAATACGCGTTTGTTTCGGTAATGAGTTCTTCATTCGACTCAAATCTCTTACCGCCCAGCCATTTCTTTAAGTTTGGAAACAGAAAATAGTCGCAGGGGCTAAGTCTGGAGAATATGCTGAATGGAATAGCAGTTCGTATCCCAATTCGTGGATTTTGGCCATCGTGACTGAACAAGTGTGCACAAGTGCATTGTCTTG